ACCGCCGCCACCTTGTGGGAGCCATGACCCATGACCATGGCCCATGGGCACTACTAGCCACCGCTGGGATTGGGCTAGGTGGGCAAATCTCGTGGCAGGAAATATTGCTGAAGCAGAAAGAGTCACATGTGCAAACCTTTTGGTATTCCTCTTGGGGGTTTTTATTGTCAGTCGATAGAGTTCTTTTCTGAGAACTATTTTTCATCAAAACCTTCTATGAAAACTTCAACAATGTGAAAGATTGTAGTCTTTAGGGTGCTTCGTTAGCAATTTAATGTTAGAAGTGTGCTGGTGCTCTACTAGGTGCCAAGTTGGACTTCTGTAGTTCTGTTATATGCTTTTGGATACAATCCAACACTGCAGAGTACTATGTTGCATCTACAATACCCAATCATTTCATTTTTCAATTATCTGGCACTTCACAGCATTGCCAGTTTTTTCTCACATGTTGGACAACAAATAAACTTCAGAAAAAAAGAGCACTACTTATTAAAAAATCAGTTCAACTTCTTTTGTCTACATATTATGCATTGGGAACTGAAAGTGCAGGAACCAGGAACTGCAGGTGTGCATCGTCTTCAACAGCTCGAACCCACATATAGGTTAACCAAGCCTCCTTTTCTTGAATGGAGATACAATACATGACTGAAAAGCCAGACACATACACATTACTACTTGTTCACCAAGAAAAAGCTTCTGTAGTTTGATTATATGTCTCTGTGTTACATTACATCCCAGGTTCTTATCCTGCCAATAGATGGATACCTGAATTTCCCTATCTACTTAATTAACAGCCCACTCTTTCAAATGAACTGCCGGCATGCATGAAGCACATATACCACATCTTGTTGCAAATGTGTTCTTAATTGTATGTGTTCGCAACTTCCAACAAATCAAACATTTTCATATGTTCTTCAGATAACAAATTGGATGTCGTAACAAAGCACTTTAGGGCACTACTCCGCGGCCTCCGCTTACAGGGCACAATTTTTGGGCTTGGTCCTCTCCCCCATGGACCAAATGGTCTGGAAGGCTTGGGCCCCACCAAAAGTAAAATTCTTTGCTTGGCTCGCGCTTCAGGATAGGATCTGGACTGCTGACAGATTGGAGAAGCGAGGATGGCCTAACTGTGGCCCCTGCCCCTTGTGCTGACGAGTGCAGGAATGTGGCCCTCATCTTTTCTTCAGATGCCGCTTCACTCTCAGGCTTTGGAACATGGCTATTCAGAAATTTCGCATCCACGACATAGACACGTCCACATGGCACCTGTTTGACTCCGTTCATGCCTGGTGGGCGAGCACATGCACCACGGGCACCACCGACAGAAAAGCAAAGCATCGATTACCATGCTAGCGTCATGGGTCATCTGGAATGAGCGCAACGCAAGAGTGTTCAGGCAAAAGAGCGCACCTCCACAAATCTTGCTCAGCATCATTGAAGACGAGGCAAACCTTTGGATCAAAGCTGGGACAAAGAAACTAGGGTCTTTTTTAATGCGAGAATAATTGTCATGCCGTAACTTGGGTGTGTGTTGTAACAAACTCTCTCTCCTCCTTATTTAATATATGAGGCAAATCTTTTGCCTCCGTTTAAAAAAACACTTTAGAAACCTGTCATCTTTTGTGTTACTCAAAATATGTTTGTACTTTGTAGTTCCGTCATTACATTCCACGAAGTGCTATTGCGAGGCAGCTGACAGCTTGACAGCTTGAGATAACCTTTGTAGGTTAACCCCAGCATGATTACTGTACCTCTGGCGACATTTAAAAACAAATTCAGTTCCTATGGTCAACCTGAAGGGAATTCGGAAAATTTTCAGTTTTCCACACGATCTATTGCACCACACAAGTTAAAATTCTTAACTTCAACAATTCATTTATTTTTACAAGTTGGATCCAAAAGGGTTCCGTCCTTGATGCATTTCAATTGGTTGGCATCCCTTGTCTTCCTCTCTTGGATCTTGGCCATCTTATAGATTCTCTGTCATCTTCCTCGTGTTCAAACGCTGGTATAGTTCCTCGTATGCTTGATCCCTTGCTTCACTCACAACTCACTTTGCGATCTACTTTGCCACCTTGTACTTCTTTCTATTGTCTGCACTCCTTCTCTATGTTGCTTGCACTCCTATTCAGGTGTCGACTTGACTTCTGGTGAAGGACGAGGAGATCAAGAATAGATGGTGAGAGTACTTCAACAAACTGTTCAATGGAGAGAATGAGAGCTCTGCCATTGAGCTGGACGACTCCTTTGATGATACAAACAAATGATTTGTGTGACGAATCCAGGAGTCTAAGGTCAAGGAGGCGATAGAAAGGATGAAAGGGGTCAAGGCAATGGACCCTGATTGTATCCCCATTGAGGCGCGGAGATGCCTTGGTGACACAACGATAGTATAGCTAACTAAGTTTTCAAACTCATTTCTGTCAAACAAGATGCCCAAATAATGGAGGCGGAGTATATTAGTACCAATCTTCAAGAATAGGAGGGGGGGTGTATTCAAAGTTGTACTAATTGTTGTGGAATTAAGTGATGAGCCATACAATGAAGCTATGGGAGAGAGTCACTAAACACAGCTTAAGAAGAATGACAGGCATGGCAATTAATCAGTTTGATTTCATGCCTGGGAGGTCGACTATGGAAGCTATTTTCTTGGTAGACAACTTATGAAGAGATACAAGGAGCAAAGAAGGACCTGCATATGGTGTTCATCGACTTGGACAAGGCCTACGATAAGATACCACAAAATGTCATTTGACGGGCCTTTGAGAAACACAAAGTCACAACAAAGTACATTACCCTAATCAAGGACATGTACAATAATGTTGTGACAAGTGTTCGAACAAGCAATGGCGACATTCATGACTTTGCAATTAAAATAGGCCTACACCAAGGGTCAGCTTTAAGCCTTTATCTTTTTGCTTTGGTGACGGATGAGCTCACGAGGGGTATACAAGGAGATATCCCATGGTGTATGCTCTTTGCAGAGGATGTGGTGCTAGTCGACGATGTCGGACGGGGGTTGATGGCAGGTGCTACCTCAGAAGGACACCTTTTGATATTTCGGGTCCATGTTGCAAAGGATGGTGATATCGATGAAGATGTGAGTCATCGGATCAAAGTCGGATGGATGAAGTGGCGCCAAGCTTCTAGAGTCCTCTGGGACAAGAGAGTGCCACAAAAGCTAAAAGAGTTCTATAGGAGGGCGATTCGACCTGCGATGTTGTATGGCGCAGAATATTGGCCAACTAAAAGGCGACATGTCTAACAGTTAGGTTTAGCAAAGATGCGCATATTGAGATGGATATGTGGCCAAAGAAGAAAGGATCAGGTTCGGAATGATTATATATGTGTGAGTTGGGATAGCACCAATTGAAGAGAAGCTGAGATGGTTTGGGCATACACAATGCAGGCCTCCAAAAGCACCGGTGCATAGCGAAAGATTAACTGTGTTGATAATGTCAAGAGAGCCACAGTAGACCAAACTTGACATGGGAGGAGTCCATAAAGCCTGAAGGACTGGAATGTCACCAAAGAACTAGACACGGACAGGGGAGCGTGGAAGTTAGCCATCCACTTGCCAGAACCATGACTAGGTTTCGAGATCTTATGGGTTTCAACTCTAGCCTACAAGAACTTGTTTGGGACTGAAAGGCTTTATTGGTGTAGGTGTTGCTGGATCTAAAAGGGTCCTAAACTTCAGCCTACCAATGGTCCTGACATATCCCTAGAATATTGATGTCTCAATCATACCAATTGCCAAAGCTTTCAGCACTGCCAACAATAACCAAATTAGTTGATTTGCTAGGTGCCTAATCCTCCAGTGGTAATGGCATTGCCGACACTAGTGGTTGCCAAACTTATTAACGAGCCTCCACGGCTTGTTCCACATTGCATAACTTGAAACCGAAAGAATTGAATCCCTGGGCTCGCTGCGACAACAATGATACCAGTGGCATAGCTGGATGCTCGAAAGGCATAAACGCATTTTACATTTGGTTTTCGGCTGGATCAGGTAACCACAGGCAAATTGGAGTGCTAAAGCTTAAACCCGGAGAGCCCAAGGAACTAACAGGCAATATAAACAGCTCTCAATTTTGGCATCAGGCTCCGAAATTTATGATGCAGTTCATACCACACAAGTACACATCTACTCAAAGAGGCATGGTAGCTACAAGTAGTACTCACCAAACAGCTCGGGAAGGCGAGCCTGAGCATGAGGATGAGAGTTGAGAGGAAATCACGAGTCCGGCAAGACCTGCGCCTGGTCCTCGCGGCGCCCCTCGTCCTGGAGCTGCTGCGCCTCCTTCTCCTTGGCGAGCGTGTGCGCCTCGTACCTCCGCAGCCTCTCCTCCATCCTCACCTGCGGGCGCGGCGCACGACAAAGAAAAGCGGGGGTGAGCGCCGCGGCTTCGACCAAATGGTCCACAGATCGCGGTAGGTTGGTGGGACGGGAGTCGGCGTACCTTGTAGGAGGTCTCGATGCGGTGCATGACGTAGAAGCCGAGGCCGCCGCCGAGGATGGTGCCGGCCATGATCCGCACGTACGCCCACCGGCGCGACCCGGGCGGCGCCATTTCTCACTGACCTTGCTACGCCGACGCCGACGCCGACGCCGACGCCACCCGTAGAGGTGGAGGGCCGTCCAGAGGTGGATGGGGCGTCCGGTTCGACGGAGATGGGGTGTCCGGAGCAGAGGAAGAGGAGGGGAGGGGGGATCGGGAGGACGGCGACTTGGGATGCGGCGGAAGCGGTGGAGTGGAAGTGTACTGTGTAGCGACGGCTGATGGTTGGGCTGAAACGACGGCTGCTTCCGGCCCATGGACTTGTGCTGGACCAGGATCCGCGATGATAGGTCGTCGTGGGCCTCTTCCGTGGACGGGTAAGGGTCGCAGCTGGACGGCAGCACATAAAAAAAAGAGGTGTGGCCGGCCATTTCCTTGGTCGGCTCCGCGACCTCTGCTTCGCTCGGTCACTCGCCCCCACCAACTCCGACGGCGATAATGCTCCTGGTCGACGGCGAGCCCGTCCCCTGCTCCTCCCCCGAGGTGCGTACGGCACGCTCATGCGGTTATACGTGGACGCTTGCTCTCTTTCTCCTCTTTGTGACGATCCTATCGGCTCCCGGTTCCTGCAGGGGAGCAGCGGGAGGGAGCTCGTGGCGGCGCTCATGGGGAACCCCGGGCTGCGCGCCGTGTCCGAGCGGCTCAGGGCCACGCCGGAGAAGCGGGTCCCGTCGGGGCCGGAGGGGGCCAGGCACGTGTACGTGTTCCAGCGGGAGTACGCCACGGTCGATCCGGCGCGCGTCGAGGTGCGTTGTGCTCAGGTCTTCGATCGAGCAGGGATTGGGGATCCTTGGTCCGATCCGCGTCGTTTGAATCAGTTGAGCGGTTCCATGTTTTGCTGCCTCAGAGACGACTTTTCGTTTCCCATGGTGGAAATCGTACCTGTGTTGCCTCCTGGTAAATGGGGATTGGGCAGGCACTCCTGGAGTTCACTTTGGTAGTTTATAGATGTGCGATCACTTTATTCAAGTTATACTATTTGTTTGGATTGGTGTATGATCATTAGAGGGCTATTGGATTGTTATTCTGAATGCCAACATGTAGGATTTCCAATTTTACATGTACACCTGATTGCCTGATTAGTTTTGTGTTCGTGTCCCTGATAAACTGGCATCCTGTTAAAGCACATCATTACTTTCTGCTACATTTCTCTCACTTTGCCTTAATTCCTAGGGTGATTAAAGCATAGTTATGCGTAGACCGTTCAAATAGTGTGATTGGTGAATTGATCAGTTCTTTTGCACCTGTAGTTAGTGGGCACAGATGAGATGACTACATGTGTGGGTGTTGCAATTCGCAACAACAAGACTGGAATGTAAGTGAAAAAGAAGCGAGCGTTTTATCTGATCCTGTAAGACTTTGGTTTCTTGTGAAACTCAAAACTCATGTATTTTCCCAACTCACAATAACATTTGCTGATTCATCCGATCTTCCATTAATTGATTTCAGGACTTCCATTAGCCATATGGACTTTCCAAAGATTGTAGAAGGAGGGTTCAAACAGATGCTAGAATTACTTGGTGATGACGACGAACCATTTGATGTTGGTCTCTTCTCCTGTATTTCCCCCTCAAAATATACAATAAGCAGTTAAGCACCCTTGGGAATGTTCTCACTAGCATTTGCTTACAGGTTCACCTGATTGGTGGCTTCGATGATGCTTCTACAAAGGTTGAATTCAAAACTTTTTGGGTGGTTAAATTTCTTTTAGATTTCTTGACCCTGCGCAAGCGGGAGCTACGTGCACCGGGCTGCCCTTATTTTCTTGATTGACACAATATACATGAGGAAGCATCCAATTACCATAATTCGCCCCGCAGGTAGTCTATTCTTCTGGAGGAAAGCACAGCATACAGGAAGGGTACTCCCATCCACTTTGTTGCAAGATAGTTGAAGTGCTGCATAAATCCCAGCAACGGTTCCACCTCCGGTCTTTCTGTGTCCTTGGGATCAACACTATGACTGATTCTTATGGGAATGCGCGACCCATAGTTGGTGGATTTGTGGTAAGGGATATCCTCTCCCCTGAATCTACTAAAGTGTCAATTAGTAGTTTTTGGTGCCAATGAACACCACATTTGTAAAATAGAACATTGTAAGCTGTGGAACAAGGAACGTTTGAAGGTTAATCTAAAAGAAGAAGGAAAAAAGAAAGAGGAAAATTCTATTTTGTCTGCATCTCAGACTAACATTTCATTTACTCCCTCCGATCCGAATTAATTGACGCAGCCTCTATACAATGTAAAATGGACGTTGTATAGAGGCTGTGTCAATTAATTCGGATCAGAGGGAGTAGTTAGTCTGTGTAAACTGGAATTATCCCCGCATGTAACAGTTATTTAAATTGTTGATTGAAACATACCCCAGTTCATAGTAAGTTTTCTTAGAAGCAAACACTCCTGCTATCTTCAGATGCAAACATCATCTGGAGTTGTTACTCCTGCAAGCTTTGACATCACTTCAAGGTGTCCTGATGAAATAGTCAGAAGAATTCGTGTGAGTGTTTCTTCTTATGATCCAAATTGGCGAGGAAAGTTGCTGGAGACTTACGACACACACGCTGATATTTTCCAGATTGCCCCTGCCTGCTGGTCCGTCTCTTATATTCCCATCCATTTCATTATGTATTGTACGTAATAAATTGAAGATGTTTGTAGCTACATATTCAGCCTCTTTGTGCTTAACTATTGACCTTCTGTTCCTGAACATTGTTAATCTATGGACACATGGACGGAGTTGGCACTGTAGCATCTGGGTCAACTGATCCAATAAAATTTTGCAAAACCTTTAGTAAATTATTGCTATCAAAGACCAATTACTGTTGAATTCATGTAGTATATCATGATGAGCCCATTGAGTGTTTTGGCTAGCTTCGGCCCTGTATGGACATAGGCACTAAATGACATCACACAGGTTGCTTTTTGGTTCAGTCTGATCTTCAAAATTCCCATACGTGAAGTAACTACCAATTGGAAAGAAGTGATGGAGGTTTTCATTATGCAATAGGACAACTTTAAATTGTTGCCTGACTTGTTGTCATCGTGTATGTTTAATGCCACCTATGCATGAAATGCTGTACAGCGGTTTTGCCACTTTTTATTCATCAGCGAATTGCACCATGTGTATGAAACCATTCATGGGCAGGCCACGTTTGCCCAAGATTCGACCCACTATCATATTCTAACACCCAATAAAATTTATAATTGTTTGCAGAAAATAAACAAATAAAATCATATTTTTATGCTTCGATCCTGGCCCAGCTTCCATCATGAACACCTCTAACAGGGACAAAAATGATTTTTCTTCCTTCTGGCTATTTTAATAATGGCCCTTTTGTTCTCATGCATGTAAACTCTTGCATGATAGTTCGAGAAATATTAAGAGCATTACGAGTGTAAGTACTTGTGCCTCTTTACTTTGCTAGTTAACTAACTGTTCCTGTGTGATATACCCATCTCTTGTCCTGCTTGTATAGGATGCCAGATTGGGCAGAAATGGCATCCTCACTTAACCAGCTTTCAGACTCTGAAGTCCTGCTTCAATGCTCCACCTCTCCAGCTGCAGAACCACCTCATTTTGTGGAAACTGAGAGAAGGTGTGTGTTCCTTCTATCCTACAAATTGGAAACTGTATTGCATGAACCATTTCTATCATGTGTGTGTGCAATCTTTCTGTTTATCCAGGTATAACTCATGATTAGCTAAGATGACCTTCATGAATGAAATAATGGCATCTTTCCAATAGAGATTGCTATATGGTTTATTCTTGCTTTGTACTTTCTTGTTGTAGGATATGGAAATACTTGATCGAGAACCCAGACTGGGAAGACATATTTCCAAAGTACAAGCCCCGGGTCTTCCATTGGACCAATGATGGAAGGTGGTCAAGGCACTCTTAGCATTATCTTTTTCCTGTCTTGTCATCCATTGGTGCTTACAAGCGGAACGGTGACAGATTATGGTCACACCAGCACTTATACGATCCCAGTCATTTCCTCCATTTCCATACGCCTTTCATCTTCAGTTATCTCATGCATTAGCCACGGGTGATTCAGGATTATTTGGTTCTTCCGTAAATGTATGCTGAGAAACCGGTCTGAAGTTGATGCATTAAGCACGGTTTGTGTGTTGTGTGGTAGATTCATTGTTGGTTCATACCTAACCTCTGAAATTTGATTTGGTCGGTTAAATGTTTGCATGCAACTTACCTGTTGTGGTCAGAGGCGTTGTGTACACTAAGGATGGGTCGGGTGATTTTATTCGGGGTTGTTTGCAATGTTGTGTCTGGAAATATATTTACTGTAGCTTGGTCGCTGTGTTCTGCTCGAAAGATTCAATGGTTGTTTGGTTTCATGCCCATCATGACGCCCCACTAAACAGATCCTAACATCTTTAAATTTTATAGTTTTTGGTTCCTTTTTTAGCTAACTTTCATCCAAAACCTGAGCATCGAATTTGGACACTACTTGGAAATGTGTTGTCCATTTACTAGCGTGTGTGGTGTGATTTGAATGGTGCTAGTCCCTCCAGTCTTGTACTAGTCAAACTTTAAACCTTTTTCCCCATTAATATTTTGATATGTGAAAATCATATGCTTGGATTTGTACCAGAAAATACTAATGCAAAATAACGATTTTATGGTTGTTGTATTACCTCCGTCCTAAATTATTTGTCTTAGATTTGTCTAGACACAGGTGTATTTATAACACTATAACGTGTCTAGATATAGTGTTAGATTCATCTCTATCTAGACAAACCTAAGACAAATAGTTTGGGACAGAAGGAGTAGTAGAAACTGAAGTTACATTTCAAAGGCATGTCAATATCGAAAGTCTCCTTAATAACAAATTACATGCCTCTCTATATATCTCTTTCCTCCTCCACAAGAAAAGCTCTTCTCCTCCCGCTGGTGCCGGTTCGTCCCATCTCCGATGGCCTCTA